CAGTTAAGTACATATCTATTGAGCTATTTCGTACATACTAAAATATTCATGAATTCAATTAAAGGTGAATTCTTCAAATACAACTTAACTGAACATAACCGATTAGAAAATTTTATTACATGCTTTTCGGTGGTTTATAGAAATATATCAGTGAAATAAAACTGGTAATTTCACTGTTTGAAACAGTGAAATTACCACTTTGGTAATTTCACTGTTTTGAATTTAAGCCCCTAACGTTGTTTCAGTGAAATACCAGCGTGCACAGTACTGGGTACCAACTTAATGACGTGACGTCGTAAATGACGTCACGTTGTATTATTATTTGGCGCGCTTTTCATTCAGTATAAGGTTTAATGTCTTTTTAAAACGTTTCTTTGCATATAATAAAAAGAAAATTTGTTTAGTTTAGTGTAAGATCGAAATATATTTCACCTTGTGAACACCAAAAGTTCATATCTCACTCGTGGCTGCGCCACTCGTGAAATATACCTTTTGGTGCTCACTCGGTGAAATATATTCAGATCTTACACTGAACTAAACAAATATCCTCTATCTAATAAGAAATTACATACTGTTTTAACGTTGTATAGACAGAAATTCACATAAATTGAATGACTTTAAAATGATCTAAAGGGAATACAACTCAGAAATTTCTTGAAATTACTGGTACCGAATCTTGTCGTGTATAGTAATAGACATTTCACACGCATTGATATTCTACGGAATTATCTCTAGCACGAAAGTCTAGTAAGAGATAACTAATTGTGTTTTTGTTTTCTTTGGAAAAAGAATGATTTTCAAAATCTAATAGTGATTGATAAGATTTCAAAATATGATAAACAAGATCAACAAGGAAAGGCGGCGTTCAATGAACGCAACACCCACACGTCCCAGCAACAAGAACCAGCGGTAAGGAGCCCAGGCGGACCCCAAACTAAAAACAAAAGTTCAGGAAAATAATAAGTAGAAATAACTCTCTGTGTAATTTCTTTCTGGTGTTGATCCGGAAGAAGGTTGCCAGTTTTATAAACAAGTAACAGCTAGTAATGTTTGGGTTAGTAATGTTTCATTAATTTTTATAGAGCATAATACGTTTATATAAACATTATTGTCAATTGATTTTATGCAGGTTTAACTACGTATCTACTATGAATTATTTCTAGATTTTATTTTTTAACCATAATTCTTTTTTTTTGTAACTGTGTAAGTCAGTAAGTTTCTTCAAAAGATGTATCTAAGTAAATATACAGATGAAATAACAGATGAACCAAATAAGTTGCTAGTTTCTTAAAAACAACGGTTCTAGGATTGTAATACAAACTGTCTTTTTGTGGGTTTAAGATGTTCCTAGTTATTTTACGAGTATCAAATACATTAAACACGGTCAAAATTTCTTTGCAAGGGTTCCGCATGATTTTCATTGGCACACTGGCCAACAAATACGCACAAGAATTTGTTGTATTGCTCATGTTTCGAAAAATAATTTTCTCAGTAATACAATGAAAAAGAATGAACATACCAATGTAACTAAAGTTTGTACAGAAAAGCCTTTCGTAGCCTTACCGTTGAAATAAAAAAAGGAAAACAAATAAAACACCCAAAATGACATTAAAATGAATATTTGTATACTTCACAGCAGCAGTCAAGTGCCGTGTGGCAGCTGTAAAACGTTGCCCCGTAATTCACTTCAGGTCCTTCTGGATCATTGATGCCAACACTAATACATGTTGAGAATTAAGTACCGCTCAAGCCGGGCCTAGGGAGCGTGAGGAATGTTGCACTTGTTCATTATCTCTCATGTGCAGACTCAATCAAACGAGTCTGCAATTTTCATGTAATTTTGTTGTGAAAATGCTTCCGAAGGATCACTTTGTTTCCAGTTTTTTTTTACCAAGCCTGTTCAAGGACGACGATGCTGAATGCAAAATACCGTTTACCTCCGTAGCACTAACTTAAGCAGTATTTAACATTTTAACATGAAAATAATTAAATTTTGAAATATGCAACGTCTGCACATATTTTCATAGACCGTGGTCCTTGAATTTTCAATGTCATTCTTCCATACTATGTCATAAAAAGCCGCTTTATTAACAAACATTATTTCCTTACAACTGAAAGATAGTTAATGTTTATATAAACGTTTTATGTTCTCTATAAGTTAATGCAACATTATTAACGCAATGGTAAGCTGCTTGATCAGCATCATTACACATTCATAGAGTAAAGCTGCAGTTATTCACTCATACTAGTATGCTGTTTTAAACACTGTCGTATGATGCATTTTCTAACTTAAATTACAAACATTATTTCCTGACAATATAAAGAATAAGTTAATGTTAATACAAACGGTCGATGTTCTATCAAATGTTATTGAAACAATTTAAAATTGGTTACACTTCATTATTAGTAAAATATTTATTTGACTATTTTTCGTCATCTAAGCTATAATAAGAGAATTATTCAGATTCTTTTGTTTTTATGCATTCCAACACTTATCAATCAGTTTGTGATAATAAAAATTAAAGATGTATAAAAATAAAACGCATTACTAAAATGCTAGTCGTAGCTGAATCGTGAAACATTCTTATCTGATCATAGTCTGTTCATAAATCACGCGTAGATTGTCAAGCGTTATTGTAAGGCTTCTTATCACGCACAGAAGCTAGATAAACGAGGAAGCTTTTGTTTTATAAATCCTTGTTTTATTTTAATGGAAAGATATCATTTGTCTTCATGTGAAATCCTTGTAAGGTTATATAATTAAGGAAGTCTTGACAATCATTTTTTAGTTCAGTAATTGCTTTTATTTGCTGCAGAAACATTCGGAACAGTGCCCATTTAATCACTAGACAACAGTTACAGTGTATAAATACAGGTTTTTCATATTATACATTAGTTTAAACTGCAAAACGAAATTTTTTATGTATGTCATTGTTATACTCGTTCTTTTTTTCAATTTACCATCATTCAGATTTATTGTGCGGGTTAGAGAGAAGTATTGCAGTTTGTGAATCATCTAACATCGAGTAATTCGTGGTGATTACGGGATTATATTTGAGAGCAAATTAAGCGGAACATTGATTTATTTCTGCGTGAGATCTTGTTTCAGTTTTATACAGAATAAAATGCTACATTTATATTTTGGCGTAATATATACAGGAAAAATGCAAGAAAAATGTTTGAAATATGAATGTTATAAACAAATTGTGATATAAGAGATGTTGTGAGTGGGTATTTTTTAGTGAATGCGTTCAGTATACGTTGATCTTTCTTGTGAATATTCTTACACATTTAAAATTTTTCAAATTAACGTGCTTTTGAATAGTAAAAAGAACGCCCAAACAGCCATATTGAAATGTTGCATGCTCGGTTTGATGAGCTATTTTATTGTATGTATTGATTGATAAATGCAAGCTAGCGTACTTACCTTAAACCATCGACTTAATCAGAAATAAGCATTTAAACATGGTAGCGTTGAACTATAAACCACCATCTGTCGTTTTTGTACTAAACTTGTTTAAAAATATGGTGCTCGTTGTATCAGTTTGGTCTACATGAAATTGATTTTCATTATGAAATATGCATTTTACAATATAAAAAGTAACACATAATTTACTTTTAGATTCTTAAGTGTTTTTTTAAAAAAATACTCTCATTATGACCTTTAAAAGCAGGCAGTTTTAAGTGTTACAAATCTATTTTCCGAATTCATGTTCAAAATGGCGTAAGAATAACTCTTATAATAGATAAATTAACATTGTTGTTTATTCTGTCATTCTGAAATTCAAGTTTTCTTAAATACACTTGTACAGATCGTAGCAGACAAGGCGACATGACTTGAAAGCAAAGAAGACGCATAACATTGTCTTAGTAAAATGATTTGTAGTTAAGTCTGACAGTGTACTTAATGATATTTAGAAACTAAATATAGTTATATTTGAATATAATACTATCTGACGGCATTTCCATTAATTTAACATGCACGTTTTTGAAATGCGTTCTGTCTCAGACTGTGTCATTACGAATATTGACAATAGTTTGTTATATAGAAATTTCAAAAGCCAGTGAAGTAAGGAAACAGACTCACAATCAATCAAACTAAAAAGTTTAGATATGATAAAAGAGTTTCCAGACTGTCTTAAGTAATGAAACACGTAAAAGCAGATCACAGACATTAGATGTATTAAGGGTAGATTGCATCAGTAATTATTTTGATTGTATTGCTTGCAATGATAGAACTTTCTGACTATTTTTTCACAACGGCAAAAGTCTTTACATTGTATCAATACATCATCTTGAAAATGCATTGTATTCTTTCTTTTAGAAAACAGTCAACAACAACGACAACATCATGTTTATCATTTTAAGCAAGCAAACATGTTCTAGTTCTAAGACATAGGAAACCATTATTTAAATATATGATGTGATGAATAACATGGAAGAGAATGTGCCTTTCCCAAAACAATTCAGTAGTCAAGTGTTGTTATATATTGGCATTAACTAGCATATGGGTCATGACCCTAGTGTCAGATTTGTTTAATGTTGATAAATGTCTAATACTACACATGACTCAACGTAATACATTTAATCGTACAATAACTACTTACTAATTGATTCTCTAATGTAGCAATTAATGGCATTTTATTGATAAAAGTGGCTGTAGACCTGCGGACATGTTCATTAACTTTATGTCAAAAAATTTACTCTGCATAAAGACAGATGGTTGCCAATATTGAATAAAAGATACGACACACATAAATGTCCTTGCTCTATTGTGTTGTATAGTTTTATTAAATTTAATAAACAAAATTGATAAATACAGTAGTGTAGACTTCTATAATTTTGTATATCCAACTTATATTTCATTTTTATGGAAACATCTGAAGCTATATGATTAATCATGGGCTATAGTCAATTGTTATTTTGGAGTTTATAGTCATAAGTTTAACTTGTATAAACAAATTGATAAAATAATTAATCCCTTTTCATTTTAATTACAGGGGATGGTGTACAGTGACAAGGACATAGATATACAAACGATGTGTCTTTATCAACAAATGATCTAAATCTTTAATCAATTTGATTTTAAACGTTTGCTAAAACTGTGATATTACATGAAAATATATGAATTTCAACAAACTGTATCACAAGTGAAATGCCGGAGACATGGTCAATATCAATGTTTTCTAAAGATGAAACAATAAACGACAGCTGTTATTGAATTAAAGACTACACGTCTCCCTATGTTATGAACTTAACATAGAGAATTGTACACAAACACCATAAAACATAAACAGTGCGCAGTTTAAACCATCATTTAATCAAAAGATAATAAGCTACAAAACAGGGATTAAATATGACCGAACACGATCAAAGGAATCGTGTTGTGCTCCTCGGAGCCGGGGGAGTTGGAAAAAGTTCAATTTTAAAGAGATTTTTGTTCAATACCTATAGTGACACATATCAAGAGACGGTAGAGGATTTATATTGTAGGGAGTATTTAATACAAGGAGCAGATATTAAAGTGGATTATTTAGACACGGCGGGAAAATTGGTGTTTCCCGCTATGCGTAGGTTGTCAATAACAACAGCACATGCTTTTATTTTGGTATATTCTGTAACTAAACAAGATACTTTCGAAGAGGTTAAAAGACTTTGGGAGCAAATTAAAGAAGTTCGCACTAATTATGAAGACATCCCCTGTGTTATAGTTGGTAACAAGATAGATCTAGAAGATAATAGACAAGTCGAAAAGTTTGATGCGCTTAATTGGGTTTACAACGATGGAAATTGTGGTGCTTTTATTGAAGTATCTGCCAAGAACAACGAGTGCATTTTGGAAGTGTTCAAATTGTTAATGGAAAAGGCTAAGAATCCGAGGGTACCTATAAATGAGCCTTTTATGCCGAGACGCTTAAGTGAACACTCTCTAGAGGTACAGTTTGGACAATCAGGCGTCAATGCAGAAAAATCTAATGGACCGGAACAATCGAGCTCAGATGCTAGTAAGATAAGTAGAAGCAGAAGTTTGATTCGAAGGGGTAGCAAGCCGAAAGTTCGAAAATCCCATGCTCGCTCACACAACAAGCAAGACTGTGTTATTTCGTAATTAAACACTACATTATCTGAACACAATGTGTGCAATTAAGGTGTTGTTAACTTTACTTTCAATTAATTTGAAATTCAAGCTTATAAACGATACTCGCAATCTTATTGGGTTATGTATGATTAATTGCCAAATATTTTTCAGTTTATTGTTGTATAAATATACTTCTTCTACTTCTTGCTGTAACTTTATTTTTGTTTCATTTTTGATAACCAAGTAGCCAAACATTCAATTTTTGCTAATAACACATTCACTATTAATTGTGTTAAGAGTGATATCAAATGTGGAAAACATATTGAAACATTTGTGTAATAAATCTATTTATCATGATATAATTTATCATGATGTAATATTCTTAATTTACACATAAGAAATATATAGAGCCGTCGTTTTTTTAATTTTGGACCATACTAATTAAGACATTCGTTATATACCTTGCGTATCTCTGCGAGTTTTAATCAGGGCATTTTATAGCATGTTGCGTATTTATAATTTCAGACAAGTCTTTTTGCAAATAAATCTGATATATATCTAAACTAAGGTAATAACGTTTTATTAAAAATGAAGGTTTTCTTTTAGTTCTGAGTCTTATCACACTCTTCATAAATGATTAAGAATTGGATTAAATGTTTTGTTCATAATTATTGTGTCATAGTATTTAAGCGTTTTAATGGTATTTGAATAATATTTGTATACAAAATATCCCAAGAAACAATAAAAATTGATAAGCAGAGGTATTAATACAGTCCACCATGAAAGCATTTATTTTAATATTTACATGTCAAACAAAATGTTAAATCGTAAAACAGATGTTCTGTACAATAAACATATATACATCAAACAAACAAATTGGCCAGCTGTTATTCTGTTCTTGAATATAAAATGCTTTTGAGGTCGTTTACAGTTCATAAACTATCGGAATATAGGAATGAACGTAAAATTCCACAGGCTCAACTATAGATATTCCGATAAAACGCAATGATAATTAAACATTCCCCACTATTAATCTTTATCCTACTGCTTTTTGTAACTAATTTGCTTTATTTTGAATTTTTGCTACCCGTCAGGAGCTTATTATTTACATTTCACTCGGACAGGTTTACCTTAAGGATCATATAAACATTTTGTTTACTTAAATGATGCTTATATGAAGGTACTATATGTCTTTGTCTACTGTGTAACTATCACTTATAACAGAACAAAGGTTACCCGATCGCAGACTGATTGACTTTCATTACCATGCTTTCTTATTGCATTTTACCGTAAATAGATACCTTCGAAATATAATAGTAAAATATTACTGTATTTAAAGAAGTTTAATATCTAAATCACTAACATTATAATATATAATTACACTTTTTAAAGGGAATAGCAGAATCTTTGGCGTCCAGCGATATTATTTTTTTTTCAGATTGTGAAGTTAAAACCACATTTAAGTAAAAATAAACATTCAATTGTTTCAATTAACATATTGTTAGCGTTATTGCAATAACATTGAAGACGTTAAAAATGCAACTGTCGTCATCAAGGTAAAGAAAGTTGTGAGTTCCCATAAGTTCAAGTACAAGTTAAGATACAAATGCCAACATTCCATATTAAATTAAATTCAGGCGCAACATCGTATAAAATGATTCACTTCCATTCACGTAGTAACAGTTTGCAATAATAGTGATTATACCGACTAATATTTGTCTAAAAGAGTGATTAGAAGACTATAATAGGTACATATAAGAGCACTTAAAGGGATTAATCAATCAATGACAGTGTTAGCCAGTTAGCGTTTGCAAACATGACATAAATGTCAGTTAAACATTCTCTTGATAATGTGTTTCCCTTTTACAGAAGGAATTTGTTTGTAACTTGGAAAATATTATGAATTAGATTTCAATTGAAGCTATATATTTAATTTGCGAAATTCAAACCGAATTCCAAAACACAATGTAAAAAAAGACTTTAAAGCACTGCAACACTGTTATTAAGGTCGAACTCGGTACGAGAAAACTCAAGTAAAATAACAGATGTTTAATGATATGCAATATCATATGTGCATATTAATATAAGATTGTACTTTGTTTTTTCATAACATTTAAAGATTGTCGAAATATAATTCACATTTTATGTATCTCGGATAGTGTTGATTATTAATGTTGCTTCTTTTAAAATGTTTTTGTGTCTTAATTTAAAGCTTGAGTCTTGAATCTTTTTGTGTGTTAGCAAATGCCTTATTTTTAGGATCATTTTCTAAATTCATGTAAATTACACATTGAATAAATGTTGAGATGTATCTGAAAATAGCATTGATTAAACAAAGTCAGAACAAAATAAAAATGCCAGAAATATGATTTTTCAGGTTCATTGAAGTGGAACAAGTAATTAAACATAGATTTGACTGTGATTAAATGAAAACAAATCAGAAGAAAGTGCTACTTTATTTCCTGATCATCATTCAGTGGGAAGACAAATGATGTATAACGTTTTTCTGTGCTTAGTTTTATCTATAGATGTATATATTTACATATATTAGGTTAAATACTATGTTTTGCTCAATGTCAAAATTTAATGGTTTCAGATTGTTTATCCGACATGTAGATTGCAAAGTACAATAGAAATTCTTGGATTGATGTTTTTGTATAATGTTCAAATTTATTTGAATAAACAGCTTTTACCTGTATTTCTGACTCTTCTTTTTCCTGCTGCTGCTACTGCTCATATAAAGTAAATGTGTATTAACATAATACCAATCAGTAAGACTAAATATTTAAATAATGTCCGCGATTCTACTCACGACTACGCTCGTGTCTGAAATAATGCTTAAGGTTTTCTTCACCAGTAGGAATACCATTGTGACATTAAAGAAAACAAAAAAATATAATGGAATAATATTAAAATAAACATATAAACATACTTCATCCTGTATTTAATTAACATTCAACCATTTACATTCACTATTTAAACTGATAAATAGCTTACTGGTAAGTTGATGTTCAATGTTTCCTAGTGCAAATTGAATTTTGATCAAGCACATTTGAAAGGCGACATGATAATTAATTCATATGTTTTTCAAATTTTTAATCAAATTGTCAAAAATAGTTGTCTCTGCACTATTTTTGTCGTTCCTATATAACTTGCTATACTGTTATCGAACTTTCTAACTTCATTCACTATAATTGTATTACTTTAAGAATCTGTTTTTCATACCGCAGCTGGATATTTTGAAATTAACAAGCATAAAAGTCTAATGATGATGTCACGTTTCCTTTAAAGATGTTTCAGACATTTTGTTATAATTGTTTCTGTCATTAATGTAATGAGCTTATAGAAAATATTATAATAGTTGCCATAGTAACTCGTGTCAGTATCAACCTCGTTACGTCGGAATGTCACATAGTAAACTCGTCGTTGAGTAATTATGTTTACTCATTAATTTGTACATAAAAACACCATAAATTTACGTCACATAGTACATGTGATTTTATCGAAAGACATAATTCTAGGCATCGAGTTCATACAGTTCTAGTTATAATTATAAAATTATAAGACCTTACATAACAGTTTTTACTAGATTTTCTCTGCCAGAAAATAGAAGTTTCGCTGCATTTAATGAATTTCATAAAACAGAAATAGAGACATTTCATTAATAAATTGATTTTCATATCGATTCCAGATCTTATCTTGGTGTCCAAGACAACCAAAATGAGTTTTATAAGCATAAAAATCTGCACCCTCATTGTGGCGAAATCGGAAGAACAGTTTCTGTTAGAATGAGAAACTCCGCCTTGGGATCAGCCGTTCAGCTCGAATTCGCTTTTCCTTTCATTATCTGTTTACATCAATTTTGACAAATACGGGTGTCGAAAAAATTCTTACATAAAATCAGATTATCTATCGCCCCAATCTTTAACCACCTAAACAATACTCATTTTTATCCGTCCAGTGTGATAGCGTAGTGGTTGATTGTTGGCTTCGTCAGTGTAAAAACCCTATAGTCCAGTCAATTTGTGAAAAAATACTTCAGAAAATGGGAAAAGCACCAAACTTGGTACAAATGAACTTTGATATATATAAGAAAAATTAAGCATGGGACCCATTTTTCAAAATCCAATATGGCGGGAAAAATCCAAAATGGCCGCCATACGTGTTACAAATTTCAAAAACGCTTGTTTTTACTAAGAGAACTTGATAGATAGCTGCATATTAGGGTATTGTAATCAGAAAAATAGTTGTAATTAGTATTTAAACATTGCTTTGTCTTTTTAAAGCTATTACACGTAGCCTAACATATTTTATTATTTCTGTTTGTCATTAGTTTTCACGACCCCGGAAATCCGATAAAATAAAATATTGTAGAGGTCTGTCATTGCTGTCTTCTAAAGATGTTAAGACATCATTTTTTACAACATTCCTTTCCTTTTTGTTTACAATGTTAATTTATCACAAGGAAATACTTATCAAACAGATTAAACAAAAGTATTTAAGAATTCTGGCATAACTCAAGCAAACGGAAATTAAATATCTGCCCATCAAGTCATACAAGTTATATAATTTAATATATTAATACTTTTATTAATTCTTTGTTCGTTAAATCATATGTATGAGAAACATTTCACCTTTTAGCAAAATGCTTGTAAAACATCACTTTTTGTTTAATCATATGAATTTTATTCATTTTGCAATTTGCCTTTACTTAAACATTGAAAGAGAATAAATCTCTATGGACCACATCTAAGATCAAAACACAAACTTATTCTTTCTAGTCTACAATATTGCTGTTACAGGTAGTCAATGGAAATCCCAATCGTAGTTAATACGACTACTACTGGCTGTAAATCACGAGAATTGTCATCACATCAGAAGTACTTTCAATTTGTTGAACTAGACGACTGACTGGAGAGAAATAAGAATGTAATAAACCATGAGATTAATGGCCGTATACTATTGGTACTTACAATCTAGCCATCCGTTTCCAGGATGAAATCATCGACCTGGCATAGTGTTGTCAACAAGTCTTTCAATAAGGATAGTTAGCTAAACAATGATGCATTCAATATTTCTAAAGGATCTTTTGCGACATGCAAAAGAACGATAGACGACTCTCAAACAGAGTGCACGGAGCCACTAAACAAACCCGACAACACTTCAAGCTATCATCTACAGATGGCATAAATATACAGGATCTTCGACAAACTGACATTAGTAAAATATGACACAAAAATGAAGTGTTTGTAATTTTGTTTTATTTCTTATCTGCCACATGAATGTTTTCAATCCAAGAATATCCCTGCTTAAATCTAAACGCTCTGGTCTGGTAAATCTTTATTTCTTATGTTGCAAATCGTCTTTTGCAAATTTAAATAACCAGATTAAGCTCTGTTAATAAGATTACACCTTGATGATTCAGTTTTCATTCAAGAATCAACTGCACATTTTTCGCTATGATTTCAAATTAGACATTTAACAGAATTGGATGACATGAGGTATATTGCTTTTAAATGTATCAAATCAAAAACGATTACTTCCACATTGGATTCGGTCAAGATATTTTACTTACGATGATCCATTTTCATGAAATCAAATATGTTACAATGGCTTTCAAATTGTTTTTACAATTTAAATCAAGATCTATATTTCAATACTAACACTATTTTATAGTCATAAGTCTGTTATACACATATCATGCCTTTAAGTTGTAAGTATATATACACGTTTAACAGAGAAACAAAATAATTATTAGAACTGCCACTGTCTTGGCGTGAATACCCCTGCATATCACTTTGTCAGAATCAACAGTGGTCATTTAGAGATCTAGGAAATCCTTCCTGCCAAATATGAGGGTAGTAAGCCAGTGCATTGCTAAGTTATGTATTCTACATGTTTTACGTGGCAAAGATAAAAGTGACCTTTACCGTAGACCTACTGACCTCAAAACTGAAACTGCCACTGCATGACTTGAACCCCCAATCATTCGGCTTTGCCTGGGGATGTTTTATGATGAATATATGAGAACATTATATAATTGCTTTAAATGAGATAATGTTAAAATCAATACACTGTTGACAGTCATTCTTAAGCAGACAAGCTTATTGTAGTTAAAAACCCAGTGATCTTGACCTTTCATGAAGACTTAGGGTCAAAAGATTCTTAAGTTATTGGGCGGATAAACGTTTTTAACTAAAGGCCCCTGTGACCTTGACATTTGACCCAGTGATCACAAAAGCAATAGGGGTCATCCAATAGTCATGACTAACCTCAATGCCAAATATGAAGACTGGGTCGAAGGATTCTTAACTTATTTGGAGAGAGCCCTTCTATCCTTGACCTTTGACCTCAAAATCAATAGTGGTAATCTACTAGTCATAACCAACGTTACGACCAAATATGAAGACTGTTGAACAAAGAATTCGAAAGCAATTGAGTGTGCAAGCCTTTTGAATTAAAGGCCCCTGTGACCTTGACCTTTAATCCAGTGACCTGAAAATCAATAAGGAGTCACCTAATGGTCATGACCATCATCCATGCCAAATAGAAAGACTGTAGGTCAAAGGTATCTGAAGATATTAGGCAGAAAAACTTTTTGAAGCCAGGGCCCGTGTGACCTTTGACCTTGAAATCAATATGGGCCATTTAATAATCATAAACAACCTCAATGTCAAATATGAAGACTGTGTGTTAAAAGATGTTAAAGTTTTTGGGCGGACAAGCTTTTTTTTAGTCAAGGCCCCCGTGACCTTGACCTTAGTTACCTTAAAGTCAATATGGCTCATTTACTAATCATGAACAATCGATATACCAAATATGAAAACTTTCGGCCAAAGGGATCTTTAGTTATTGAGCGCACAAGCTGCTTTAAGTCAGCCCAAAGTGACCTTTGAGCCAGTGACCTCAAAATCAATAGGGTTCATCTAATAATCATGACTAACCTCACTGCCAAATTAAATATGAAGACTGTAGGTCAAAGGAATCTGAATCTTTTTACAAACAGGTACAAACGTAGTTACCTCAAAGTCAATAGGGCTCATCTACTAATCATAAACACTCTGGGTGATCTCTTAATCTTTACTAACCTCCATACCAAATATGAAGACTATGGGTGAAACGATTATTAAGTTATTGGGCGGACAAGCTTTTATAGTCAAGGCCCATGTGACCTCGACCTTTGATCTCGTGACTTTAAAATCAATAGGAGTCATCTACTAATCATGACCAATCTATATACCAAATACGAAGACTGTGGGTCAAAGATATTATTTAGTGCCATACAATCCCTTACAATTAATCGGATACGATTGTTATTTGTTTGATATTAAATAAATGTGTGCTTATGTTTTAAAAGTACTGTTGCAGTTTATTTATTTTGGAACCGTTGTAAACATAGCATGAATCAGTGCACTTCAAAAAGGTAAGTCATGTGTGTATGGATAGTATTTTAATACGTATTGGCCTTACTACTTGCAGTGAGGTATTGTCGTGTAATGGTAGCGCGCGGGTCTATCATATATACAGGTGCGGGTTCAAATCCCAGCATGTCCACTTTTTTTAAATATACATTTTTTAGTTTTTTGGCTACTCGTGACATTATGGCTTGCAACGAAAATCATATATCGATTGCCAGCACGCGAGTCCACGGTTGTTTGATTGAGGTGTATGTTATGGCGCTGTTAGAAGGACGTCATC